CCTGCACTTCTTCTGAAAACTGAATCTCAGTCCGCATTCCTCTGTGTGGGTGGCGTGGCTGCACTGATTTTGGTGCGGATCCACAGAGGCACCACCCGCACATTTGTGAACCTAGCCTAAAACTTCATGTAGGATTTTACGTGTCAATGTAATATCAAAAGTCATTTTTAATATCTTTATATTTGCAGCTTTCATAAAATAATATCTGGTAATCCTGTCATAAGATGCTTGTTTAGGCACTTCTTGTTATAGGGTGACAACACTCTTTGTCTCCCCACTGTGCTCCACATTTGTCACCCTGTTATAATTTTAATGGTATCTACAAATGACTTTTTTAACAAAACATGTGGAGGCATACTCCACTAATTACACCATCAGAAAAACCTGCTCTGGGGAATGCCATGTGATTCACACAACTTTCACGCTTTCCCACATATGATTCAGTTAGAAAATGGATAAATCTAGTTGTGTGAGTCTTGGATAAAACATTGATAAATAGAGCCCTAAGCATTTCATTACTTGGCATTATGAAGTTTAGATTGTAAACGTATTGACTGCCTTTAGGCAATGCAAACAGTTATTCTGAAAGACACTTTGTTAAAGTAAGGCTTTTTTTTAGCTGCAGGAAATAATCCCAAAGATAATGGATTATGTTCCTGGGCCGCACCAGAGAATCAATCCCATTTTGGAGAGGCTGCTGGCATTTGTGTCCGAGAGGATCAAGATGAACCAAGCAACATTGGACCCAAGTTCACCAAGAGATTACATTGATTGTTTCATCACTAAAATGCAGCAGGTACAATTAAAAGTATATAGAGTTTCCATAAACATGGTTGATCTACTTTAATTACATTCCTCACTTCCAAAATACCAAAAGCTTCAAAATAAAGGTAAAAAAAAAAAGTTAAGAAATAACTACCTCAATCCTGACTTCCAACACTTCCAGGAGACACAGATGACATCATCATACCTCACCAAAATTCCACAAGAATGCACCCCATTAATGTGCTTCAATGCATTTCTTTGGAATTTTGAGCTTAAACCTTTCCCAGGAGGCAGCGGTAAGGCACTGGAACACCATTGCACTTCCTAGAAGCATCAGAAGCGAGTGACAAGGCATTTAGGAATTATATTTTGTGCTCTATTAACACAGCCTTTTAGTTTGTTTTGTTCTAAGATGTAAGAGCTTATAAACTATTCTATGTGTTGTAGACATCAAAAGTTTAAAGGTGGAGGGAACCATTGTCTAACCCTTGGTAATTAATCTGCGGTCCTTTCGCCATTATTGTGCTGCAGAGAGTAGTCTATGTTTTCCATACCTAAGGTCTTACTCAAGCCATTTAAGGAAATATATTCTTTATTCCGCCTTCCACACTATCCTGGTTTTTTTTCTGCACAGTCCATCTATTTTTTTCTGTTTATGATTTTATAGTTAACCTTGTGGAGAAAGATATCAAATGTGTTACAAGAAAATTTTAAGAAGGTTGTATGGAGCACAAATGTGGACTGATAGTGATCTCTTGCAGTTTAAAGTAATGTATCTCCAGTCTATGATTGTCTCCTAAAGTCTCCAACAAATCCTCTAACATGAATCACATTTACTAAATATATTGCATAGCCCATTGGAATATGTCAAAAACTGCACTTGAGGCCTATAACAAATGAGTTGACCCCCATTAGTCTAAACCATGCTTACCTGCCCTAATTTATAGAATGTGAAGTGCAGGGAACAAAGTGTTTTCAATGGATTAACATACTTTCACCTATTATTTCAGGACAATGAAGACCCTGCCTCTGAATTTAATATGAAGAACTTACTTTTGACTGTTCTCAATTTATTTTTTGCTGGGACAGAGACAGTCAGTACGACTCTAAGACATGGATTCCTCATTCTCCTGAAATATCCAGAGATACAAGGTAATATTAAATCCTTTTCCCTTTGGGGCCACTCATAATTCAACCCAATCCAAATTATCCAGGCATGCAGACTGGGTGTCCAGGAAAAAATGGAACAGCAAATGTGTGCCCTCCCTCCTGAAACATGTTAGTATATGTAAGCTGAAGAAGAAGAAAATAAATGGCACAGAGTCCTCCTAAAAACTGATACCAGAACCTTATACAGTCATGTAGCCTGGCTAGCCAGGAAAGGGAGGTGCAAGGAGCATGCCCCCTACTCCTGAACCACATGCCTTCAACATTGGGAAGGTGTCTGGCTTGGTGGATGTGGGGGTCTACAAGGGGGCTTATACATATTTTGAAGCCTCTTTTAAAACAAAGAGGCCTCCAGATGTATGGACCCCTCCCTGTGAATGATTATTGAGTACTTAGTACTTCTCGTTAGTAATTCACATAAAACAAAGTAATTAAAATCAAGATATTGTGAAACAAAAACATGCCCCACAATGTAGATTCAACGACAATCATGTCGTCAAGTGATGTGAAGCCATCGTCAGTTATGATGAGTGACTCTCCAATGATTCACCATCACAGGAATGAAAACCCGCGCCTGTATAATCCTCTGTTGTCCTATTCCCAATTAAAATGACAGTACTCCAGCCTGTTGCTGAATGTCAACAAACCATCAGGTGGTCCCAGGTGATGTCATTGACCAACTGACCAAATTCTAAGCGGTAATGGCGGTTGGGAGGCCAGGGCATGTCATTTATTGGCAGTAGTAGTACCAAAACTAAGTGAATGATTCTGGCTGTAGTAGCGCATGAGGGGGGTACTGGTGAATTCTGCCAATTTAGTTTGCATGTTTGGTGTGGATCAACTTGAATTTAAAGATCAACCCTACCTGTTTTTTGTATGAGTATGCCATGAGTCCTGCAGAAACTGGGAGAGGCTACCTCTTGAGTGAGGAAGAAAGAGAGAGCGAAAAACTACTGGTAAAGTACAACTAAAGGCTCTTATATGACACTCTAAACAAGTAGCAAATTAAGCAACTATGTAATGCACAAAACCCATAAAGCAAACAATTAAATGACTGAGCCAAATCCTCCTTCCTTTGTGACTCACACACTCCTCCTTCCAGACACTGCAGCTCACAGTGAGTGGGTTTCAGCAACAGAAGCACTGCTATCATACCAGATAGCAGGAGGCAGGACTAGGTATGGCCAGGTGATGGTTGACAACCTACAGGCCTAAAGTGGTAGTAAACCACATCCAAAATGTCTGCAAGGTAAAAGCATAATGTGCTAGTTGCAGGGGTTAGCAAAAACTAAGTGAATATGAACTTATATTATTTCTGCCTTAAAATTGAAAACCTTCTCTTACCAGGATCCCCCCAGCCCCCTAAATATTGACCTGAGCGCAATTTCCATATCTCTCTCTTTTCACTGGCCATGGATGCAGTAGTGAGAGCCATTGGCTCCTGCTTTTGTTAATCACAGCCTTTGAGAAGGGAGCACAGAATGCGACTCAGGATTAAGCCAGCACAAGTGTCCCCATAGCAATCGGCTTGCTACTGGGGCACTCAACAGAGGGGAGGAGCCAGGAGCACAAGCAAAGGACCCCAAAAGAGGTGGATTATGGCTATTTTGTGCAATGCCATTGCACAGAGCAGGTAAGTCTCATGTGTTTATAATTATTAAAAAAAAACAAAAGTTTACAAGCACTTTAAGTTCAGTTCTGCAGCTTATATTTTTCATGATAGACCATAGTTCTACTTTAGAAGATATTGTTGACTCTGCAGAGTTGCCTAAAGAAACAGCCAAGACCAACTTTATTAACACAACCATATGAACTGTGATATAATTTTCAATAGAAAGATGGATCTTTTCAATCAGTACAAACATAGAACTTCCATAACCCACCTCATCTTCTGTGGTTGTACCTACACCCTTAGAAAGATGCCTTCAGTTGCAATGGCCATCTTTTATTCCTATGGGTCTCTAACATACCCAGGAGAAAAACGTTTCCACACCTTGGAGGGTAAACATTGTGTAGGCTGACCTGTAATTTAGCAGGGATTATGGTAGTATTGCAGACATCACTGTTAAACTGTATACTATGCCATAAACGTTAAAATTGTTGAGATTTTGGCCACATGCTTTTCTCGTCAATAGATAAGTTATATAAGGAAATCGACTCGGTGATTGGTCAGAACCGCAGTCCGAATATTGAGGACCGGAGCAAAATGCCTTATATGGATGCTGTTATCCATGAGATACAGAGGTTTAGTGATGTCATCCCAATGAATGTTCCCCATACTGTCATTAGAGATACAACATTCCGAGGATTCACCATCCCCAAGGCAAGCGGCATAACTTCTATTCCTGCATATGAATGTTGTTAAAACATATCTTACTCAAACGTCACAAAATACATTGAGCAAGTGTAATAAATTGAAATGTAGCATTATTCTCCTGTTGATCAGTAGGACCCGGAGAGCACAAAATGAGTGTCACCTCTGCGGTGATATTTTACAGCCATACAAATATCAGACAGCTGTACATGTTGGGACAGTTGCATGCAGCCTTTAGAAATGCAAACGCTTTGAAATGTTTTCCTTCTGGCATGCATCCATGTAGCACAGAAGCAGTGGACAGACTTCAGTTAGCATAAGTAGGTATATGTTTAGCTGGATTTGCTCTTTAAGTTTTTACAGTCTGGCCGAGAGAGAGAGAGAGAGAGAGAGGGGGGGGGGAGAGAGACAGAGAATTGAGTAGTCTAGTTTAACCACTTTCCTACAGGGCACTTTTACCCCCTTCCTGCCCAGGCCAATTTCCAGCTTTCAGCGCTGTCACACTTCGAATGACAATTGCGCGGTCATGCAACACTGTACCCATATGAAATTTTTATAATTTTTTGGTGACAGATAGAGCTTTATTTTGGTGGTATTTAATCACCTCTGGGATTTTTATTTTTTCTTAAACAAACCAAAAATCACTGAAAATTTTGAAAAAAATGTTTTTTCTTAGTTTTTGTTATACAATTTTGTAAATAAGTGATTTTTTCTCCTTCACTGATGTGCGCTAATGAGGCTGCAGTGATGGGCACTGATAGGCTGCACTGATGGACACTGATAGGTGGCACTGATGAGGAGGCAGTGGTAGGTTGCACTGATGGGCATTGACAGGCATCACTGATGGGCACTGAAAGGCAGCACTGTTACATGACACTGATATATGGCACTGATATATGGCACTGATAGGCGGCACTGACTAGCACTGATAGGCAGCACTGACTGGCACTGATAGGCAGCACTGACTGGCACTGATAGGCGGCACTGACTGGCACTGATAGGCGGCACTGACTGGCACTGATAGACGGCACTGACTGGCACTGATAGGTGGCACTGATTGCCATTGATAGGTGGCACTGACTGACACTGATGGGTGACATTGAAAGACAGCTCAGATGGGCACTAATATGTGGCATTGATGTGCACTGGTATGCACTGATATGTGGCATTGATGTGGCACTGATGGGCACTGGCACGTGGCACTGATGAGCACTGACTACTGGCACTGATGGACACTGACAGGTGGCACTTCTGGGGCTACACTGATCATCAGGGCACACTGATCATCAGTGCCCTGATTATCAGTGTACATGTCCCCTCCGCGTAAAGTCGATTAAGGGCTCTCCTCTCTTCTCGAGCTGGCAGCATGACAGCTCGAGAGGAGAGAAATGCCGATAACCGGCATTTCCGTGTTTACATGTGATCAGCTGTGATTGGACACAGTTGATCACATGACCGAGCCAACATCTTCGGCTCTTTCCGTGATCCGCTGTGTCCGAGGGACACAGCGCACCAGCGATCGCCGCACTGCGCGTTCCCTGAGCCGCGCATGCACAGTGAGAATGGAAGGACATCATATGACGTCCTATCAGAACGAGAGAATCACCTTGCGCTCGTCATTGTACTATATGGCGGGCAGAAGGTGGTTAAAGTGGTTGTAAACCTCACACATGAATATGGAAAATGCATATCGCTCTACAGTGTGTACATGTCACAATTAAAAGCACAAAGTGACCTTTCTGTCTGCTTCTTCATTCCTCTGCTATCAGCATGAATAAACTTCTGACAAGTTTTCCTGACACCAAGAGAAAAATGGTGACGGAGGAGGGATCTCCAGCTGATTGACAGCCTCAGCTTTATTCCTGTGTGCTGTGTGAAAGGGAGTGTGTCCCTTCCCTCCAATCAGCTTCCAGAGCTTTCCTCACTGAATGCTGCAGAGTGTAACTTCAGCTCTCCACCCCTTTTTTTCTGAACTCTAACACCCTGGTCACACCGATCCCGACCCCGAAATTGCGCAACTTACAATTAAGTCGCACAATTTCAAAGTCTGATTACATGCCGATTTGAGGTGTGATTTGAAAGACATAGATGTCTATGCAAATCACACCAAAAGTAGTGCATGGACTACTTTAGAAATCAGTGCAGCTCCGACCAAGTCAGAGCCACACTGCTGTAATTGCAGACAGGGTGCGACTTGCCATGCGATTTGCAAGTCGTATGGCATGAAACTCGCATGCCAATTCACACCCGGTATGACCGGTGTCTTAGACAACTAAAAAATTCAGCACTTTGACCCCCGGTTCATATATATGCTGCCTTGCAGGCCATGTTTTGCACGGGCACGAGAGCCCATGAATGGACTCCCGTGTAATCCCGCTGTAATTGCAGACAGGGTGCGACTTGCCATGCGATTTGCAAGTCGTATGGCATGAAAATCGCATGCCAATTCACACCCGGTATGACCGGTATCTTAGACAACTAAAAATTCAGCACTTTGACCCCCGGTTCATATATATGCTGCCTTGCAGGCCGTGTTTTGCACGGGCACGAGAGCCCATTCATTTGAATGGACTCCCGTGCCCGTGACACGCAGGGAAGAAGTCCCTGCACTTCTTTTGAAAACGCAGCCCGCACGGGAACCTCGGTTCCCAGTACGGTTGCGTTTTCCAGTGCGAGTGGTGTGCCATTAGAATTAATGGCACCCGCCCACAGGTCCGCATTTCTCTGTGCGGATGGTGTGGTTGCACGGATTTTCATGCGGATCCGCAGGTACAACGTATGTAGGAGGATTTTTTTCTTCTCTGTGTATCACCTGAGGCCAGTCACTTCACTGGGTATATGTAAGCATTTACAACCACTTTAAAGTATAAAATAATAACAGTGTAATTCCAGCTAATTTCAGATGGTGAAGAATTGAAAGAATTATACCCTAAAGTGAAACAATGAAAAAAATATATCTAGCTATTCAGTTTTGTATATATTTAATCATCTACAAATTTCAACATACCAATAATATGCTGTATGCTGTCTACCCACAACCTTCAGCACACATACAGTAAGATTATGGAATACGTGAGGTTATGCACTGGGAGGCAATCAGGAGGTGTTAATTACAAATTGTAATGTTACAAATATGGTGCTTTTTATTTAGTTCAGTAAATCTACAGATATAAAACCTGGAAGCTGATTGGTTTCTATGCAGAGCTGCACCAGATTTTACACCCTCCGTGTTAGTAAATCAACCCCAATATCTATTCAAACTGTATACATTTATTAGGAACATAATCTGTTTTATTATATCTCTTTTATAATCACACTTCATAATTTTATCTTTTCGTAATACCGCTCTTTCCTCAACCCAGGGAACAGATGTCTTCCCTCTGCTGTGTACTGTCTTGAGAGATCCCAGTCAGTTCTCCACACCTGACAAATTCAATCCTGGCCATTTCCTTGATGAATCCGGGAGTTTTAAGAAGAGTGATGCTTTCATGCCATTTTCCATAGGTATATCTCACATTTATTTAAAAAAAAGTAAAATTAAAATAAAAAAAAAAACAACAAAGGTAAACTAAATTAAGAAACAAGCCACAAGCTGCAGTATGTGAATTTAAAATATAATTAGATCTGATTTATTTATTACTTTTTTTCCATTAAAAGGAATGTATGCATCTAATTTGTCATGTATTTTTTTATGTCAAAAATAGAGATGAGTAAAATTAAGAGTTAAGAGTTAGTGAAAACTGGGAGATTTTGGTAAAATGTTGTCATTTAGGCTCAATGCATTGGAATCAATGAGGAAGGTGAAATTATTGAGGCTACAGAAGCTCCCTTAAAGTATTACTAAACCCACAACCAAAAAATCAGTCTGTATACTGTATGCAGTAAAGCATGCTTGTTATACTCACGGTGGAACCTAAGGGGTTAATCTGTAGCATTGTGTAAAAAGGATGTTTGATTCTGTTTTCTCTGATCCTCCCCTTCTTCTACTGTCCCCAATCCATCTTCTGATATAGAACAGTGCCTTGGGAGCAAGCTGCACATGGTCAGTTTGGTGTATTGCTAGAGAGTTTTTTTTCTTGGGAGAGTACATGTGATCGGCACAGGGCCAATCAGCACTGTCTAGACAGGGGTCAGGGGTCCTGAAGCCTCATAGGACATCCAGGCAAAATTAGTGATTTTTGTGGCAAAATTAATTCACCAAATCACTCCTCTCAGCCCCAGTTAGGACTAAAACATTTTTTTTTTTCTTGGGCAATATGAAAGGTTAACTATGACTATTTTGTGTTTTTGTTTCAAACCAGAGTGTGGCACTGTAGTCTGCTTTCTGCATTTATTCTAGGCTATCCTTTTGTGCTGTGCCAAGAAAAAACAGTTTGTTCTGTGTTTCAGGGAGGAGGATTTGTCTAGGAGAAGGTTTGGCCCGGATGGAGCTCTTTCTCTTCCTTACAACCATTTTGCAGAATTTTAAGCTCATCTCCGAGACAAAATTTACAGAAGAAGATATTGCTCCACGAATGACTGGATTTGCCAATGTTCCCATAGACTATAAGCTATCCTTTATACCTCGCCTATTGTAACTTAGAAACAGAAATTCAGACATTGACATTTGTAAGAATATAAATCTCCACTCTCAAAGTCCAGCTTTACTTTTTATTAAATATGTCTTAATGTAAGACCCCTAGAGAGGATGCCCTGCTTCCACACTGATCTTTTTTTCTAGGGGTCTGCTAGATGCACTCAGCTCAGTTAGAAGATAGGTCAGTTTTATAGCCTGTCACTCCTATTCAGACATCAGGCAAACACAAATAAAAGCATAAAAAAAGTAGTTCATAGCAACTGGAAAATGGGGATTTAGATTATTACGGATGCCAATTGCTAACTGACTTTCTTTACTATCAAGTTAAGCCCAATTTTTCAAATATGGAATAAAATGACTTATGTGGAAAAATAACTTTGCTGTTATTGATAATTCCTCGGCTTTGTACATAATAATTCTTAGACATTTACCTTTTCCTTTACTGTGCAGTATCCATGTTTACAAATATACTATGTTGCCTTGCTTTCCTCGTTTTCAAAACTCTTCACAGCTTAAAAGAGAGAAATAAATACGTTTACGTTTCTGACCTTCTTCTGAAAATACCAGTTGCCTGACTGGGTTTAACATTTTCTTAGTCACTGACCTACAGTAGGACAAGCATGCAACAACTAAAGCTAATGGTTAGTCAGTCTGATGTCTACTCAGAATACAGAAAACTGTTGGATTACCAGGCACTTGGCAAGATGGCGTAGTGAGTAGGATCATGACTCAATGTTAAGAGAGGACTATAATCCCACCATATTGGAAATTTACATACCAGTTTGATTGCTTTGATCATTTGGCAGTTTGCCATCACAACAATTCAGATATGCAAAATATTGATATTGCTCAAGCTGGAACTAAAGAGACCCTATCTCTTCTAAATATGAAAAAAATATGTACAAGCTTTGTTGCCACTACTGTAATCATGTTGCAGCCAGGCTCCTCTCATTCCTTCAACTCCACAACTCTGTCCATATTTTATCATGGTTACATAGTTTGCCTGTTTCTGCTACGGTCCCTCCATCTTATGGCGTGGCACAGATGATCAGCATCAAACACATACCTGATGGCAGCTCTGAGGCGAGACACATATTCTACGTTTTTGCTGTTGTATATATAGGACTTGAATGTAAAGAAATGGTCAACCCACCCTCATTGGAGCAACATGACCTTTTAAGGACTTGGTCAGTTTGTAATGATATTCCTTTAGCATGAAGTCATCTAAGGTAACTAGACTTTGGAGGCTTTCTTAGATATTGTGAGAAAACTTTAAGGAAACATGAAATATGCAATTTCCTCATGAAATGAGGACAAGAAGATCAGACCGGACCATACCAGACTGTATTGCAAAACTCATCAAAGTACCTTTTAAACACTGTTATGTGCCTTCTTCAATAAAAACTCCCTGTTCTCATCTCTGCTCAAGGACTTCATCTGTGTGCATATGTTTAAAATGAGATAAACTTCAGCAAGTAAAAGTGAAAGGCTAGCACTAAACGCAAAAGTTGTCCAACTGGTATTGCTTTCCTAAAGGTTTGTATTTATGTTAGTGTAAGTGATCTGGTTACAAAGCAAGCAGCTTCTATATCTTAGCAGACATCCACAGTTTCCTTGGTTTCTAGAAAAAAAAAAAAAGTCTGGCTTTGGCAGTTGTCAGAACGGTA